GCGCGATCGAGCCGGCAGATGACCGATCGCGACGGGGGGGGAGCTGCCCCTCTGCCCGCTGCGGGCTGGCGCCACGACCGGTCCGCTTCCCCCCCTCCTCCTCCTCTCCTCCTCCTCCCCTCCCTCCTCTCCTCCTCCTCCTCCTCCTCCTCCTCCCTCCTCCTCCTCCTCCTCCTCCTCGTACCCCTTTTGGCTCAAGCCCTCAGGCCCCGGAAATATACAGGGAGGGGGCCATCCCCACGCGCACGTGGGGGGGGGCGCAGCGCGGGGGAGCCGCCATGGGCTCCGGGACGTGAGGGCGACCAGGCCGGGAAGTGCATGCTCTTCGGCAAGGTCGTCAAGGTTTTTGCAGTGAAGCACGGTCGTGAAGCTTGGTGTGAGGATGTGGATGAGCTCGGGTTCTTTCGTTGTGAGTTGCGTGGTGCACCCCGCGCAGGGCCGGGGACACGTGGAGCGCTCTCGCCACGTGAAGACGGCAGGGACCCTTAGCCTCCTGGTTCGAAGCCTTCGTCGACTGCTTTCTCCTGTATTTGAATGCGTTCGTGAAGAGCGACTGGATACAGGTGCTCGAATTCAATAAGGTGGTTTGGCACACTGTCGTGTGTCGAGCCCGGTGAGGCCTGAGGCGCACGGGGGGGGATTGCTACCTTACCTCGTGGAAGGGCATCGGTCCCCTCCCCTGGCCGCGTTTGCCGTTGCCACTCGGGAGGTAGCCATCCTCCCTTGTGGTCGGCTCCGCGCGGCGGCGGCGCGGGCTCCCTTCCTGCTATCGGGCGGGTCTCTGGCGCCCCTCGTCGCACGTTGTTTTTCTTCGGAACGCTGAGCCATTGGGTTCGGCACGCGTCCCTGCATAGGTAGGGCCGTTTCGGGCTGCGTCCCAGGGTTGTGAGACAACAGCCGCGTAATCCGTGACCCTAGTGAAACCCTGCCTCACCTCCTCCTCCTCCTACCTATCCCCCTCCAGCCTCACCGACAATACCCGTCCCCTTATTCATCCTACTCCCTCAATTCCTCCTGCCTTGCCTGCACCTTACCTCCTATACCTCCACCTCCTCCTCCTCCTACCTCCCTCCACCCTCCCCACGCCTCATCCTCCATCTCCTCCTCCTCCTCTCCTCCTCCCCGTCACCCTCCCTCATCCTCCTCCTCCTCCTCCTCTCTCCTCCTCCTCCTCCTCCTCCTCATCCTCATCATCATCCTCATCTTCCTCCTCATCCTCCTCCTCATCGTCCTCCTCCTCCTCCTCCTCCTCCTCCTCCTCATATTCCTCCTCATCCTCCTCCTCATCTTCCGCCTACTCCTCCTCCCTCCTCTTCCCCTTTCTGGTTGCTGTCGTCGTCGTTGCCGTCGTCGTTGTCGCGCGGCGGATTCCGCGGAATAGATACTCAGTTCACCTCTATTGTTTGGACCCCAGTCCGTGAATCTGTCCGCCAAAATAAAATTGAGTCGAATGACCTTTACTGTAGGAGCTCGACCTCAAAAACAGCTTCCACGAGAAACCCAACCCTGATGCCCCAAGACGTCCACTGATTTGGTATGGAAAAGTTGCGCTTTCCATTGTAAAACCGTTGGAATCAAAGTCCCTGGGAACCCTGGAGGCAAGCGGGGTGTTTCTTGGCATGGGCACGCCGCAGAGTCAGCTGCCGCAGGTGCAGGTGGCCGGGGGCCCCACCGTGGAGGTCAGCTGCCGCAGGTGCGCAGAGATCGCCGCAGCCCCGCGAGGAGCGATCTTGGAATGGAGCGCAGCGCCCCTCTCCCCGGAGGAGCCCGCCATCGCGGTGCCGCCAGGGCGATCGGGACCTGCGTATCCCGCATCGCTCCCGCATAGCACGCGACCTAAACAAACCTATCCCAGAGCTATTCTACGTCTTGGTTTTAGGCTGTTTCGTTCAGTGTTTTTTAGGTTTTTAGGCCTCCCGTGCAACAAAACATTACCCTGGCGACGCACCCAACCCCTGCGCAAACGCTGGGCGCAAATAGTTTAGGACACTATATAAGGGGGGCGATGACGGAGCGAGGGTTACATATGTCTGCAGACGGAATTCGGGAGACTCGCAGGACACTGGCTACAGGACAAAGTCTAGATAAAACTGATTAGTTACAATCCCTGAGCAACCCTAGCCACTTCGAAAGCGGGGATCTCATATCGCAGCCCCCCAGGGATGGCGATGTCTAATTTGGGTCCGCGCGTGGCGTCACTGTGCTTGGCCCCCTAGCAGGCCTCGAAAGTGGCGACAGTTTCACAGATCGCAGCCCCCCAGGGACGGCGAGGTCTAATTTGGGTCCGCGCGTCGCGTCACTGTGCTGGGTCCCCCAGCAGGCCTCCAAAGTGGCGACAGTTTCACAGATCGCAGCCCCCCAGGGATGGCGAGGTGTAATTTGGGTCCGCGCGTGGCCCTCAATGTGCTGGGCCCCCCAGCAGGCCTCGAAAGTGGCGACAGTTTCACAGATCGCAGCCCCCCAGGGATGGCGAGGTCTAATTTGGGTCTGCGCGTGGCGTCACTGTGCTGGGCCCCCCAGCAGGCCTCGAAAGTGACGACAGTTTTACAGATCGCAGCCCCCCAGGGATGGCGAGGTCGAATTTGAATCCGCGCGTGGCCCTCACTGTGTTGGGCCCCCCAGTAGGCCTCGAAAGTGGCGACAGTTTCACAGATCGCAGCCCCCCCAGAGACGGCGAGGTCTAATTTGAATCCGCGCGTGGCCCTCACTGCGCTGGGCCCCCCAGCAAGCTTCGAAAGAGGCGACAGTTTCACAGATCGCAGCCCCCCGCAAGGATGGCGAGGTCTAATTTGAATCTGCGCGTCGCCCTCACTGTGCTGAGCCCCCCAGCAGGCCTCGAAAGTGGCGACAGTTTCACAGATCGCAGGCCACCCAGGGTGGCGAGGTCGGGGGGGGAATTGGGTCCGCGCGTGGGCTGTCACTGCGCTGGGCCCCCCAGCAAGCCTAGAAAGAGGCGACAGTTTCACAGGATCGCAGCACCCCCCAGGGAATTGGCGACGCTAATTGGGAAATCCGCGCGTGGCGTCACTGTGCTGGGCCCCCCAGCAGGCCCCGAAAGTGGCGACAGTTTCACAGATCGCAGCCCCCCAGGGATGGCGAGGTCTAATTTGAATCTGCCCGTGGCGTCACTGTGTTGGCCCCCCCAGCAGGCCTCGAAAGTGGCGACAGTTTCACAGATCGCAGCATTCCAGGGATGGCGAGGTCTAATTTGGGTCCGCCCGTCGCCCTCATTGTGAAGGCCCCCCAGTAGGCCTCGAAAGTGGCGGCTGTTTCACAGATCGAAGCCCCCAGGGATGGCAAGGTCTAATTTGGGTCCGCCCGTCGCCCTCAATGTGCTGGGCCCCCCAGCAGGCCTCGAAAGTGGCGACAGTTTCACAGATCGCAGCCCCCCCAGGGACGGCGAGGTCTAATTTGGGTCCGCGCGTGGCCCTCACTGTGCTGAGCCCCCCAGCAGGCTTCGAAAATGGCGACAGTTTCACATATCGCAGCCCCCCAGGGATAGCGAGGTCTAATTTGAATCTGCGGTGAGTACCCACTGTGCTGGGCCCCCCAGCAGGCCTCGAAAGTGGCGACCGTTTCGCAGATCGCAACCCCCCCAGGGGTGGCGAGGTCGAATTTGAATCTGCGCGGGGCCCTCACTGTGCTGGGCCCCCCAGCAAGCCTCGAAAGAGGCGACAGTTTCACAGATCGCAGCCCCCCGCAGGGATGGCGAGGTCGAATTTGCATCTGCGCGTCGCCCTCACTGTGCTGAGCCCCCCAGCAGGCTTGGAAAATGGCGACAGTTTCACAGATCGCAGCCCCCCCAGGGATGGCGAGGTCTAATTTGAATCCGCGCCTGGCCCTCACTGCGCTGGGCCCCCCAGCAGGCCTCGAAAGTGGCGACAGTTTCACAGATCGCAGCCCCCCAGGGATGGCGAGGTCTAATTTGAATCTGCGCGGGGCCCTCACTTTGCTGGGCCCCCCAGCAGGCCTCGAAAATGGCGACCGTTTCACACATCGCAGCCCCCCGCAGGCAAGACAGGAAGAGGCAGGGAGGGAGGAGGAGGAGGAGGAAGGAAGGAGTGGAGACCACACTGCTCTATTCAAAACGAATACTCAACCAAGGAGGGTTGGGAAAAATCTCTGGAAGGTCAGGGTTGGGCCCTCCCCTCGAGCAGTGGCTCTGGACGCCCGAAATGGGCACGGAAAGAGTGGGTACGATGCCCAGCAGCAGTTCCCGTTCATTCTGAGCAGGATTCGCTGTCCACGCCGCCGCGGCCCGTGTCCACTCGAGACAGGAGGCCGCCTGCCCAGCAGCGGCCGCTGTTGGTTTGGGACAACATTTGTTGTTGGGCATTGTACCCATTTTTTTCGTACCCATTTCGGGCGTCCAAAATCGCGAGGCGACCAACGTGACGAGCGAACAACACACACACCCATAGGGTTAAGTCGGGTCCGTCCCTCTGCAGGGAGCAGCTGCAAACATAGTCAAGAATCGGCGGGGAACCATTTTTTGAGTATGTTGGAGCATGTTCGACGTATTGTTTGGACAATGTTCTATTTGTCGTCGAAAATCCGCCTGTACGGGGACACGCCCGACCTAACCACGGGAAGGACGGACGGGGCTGTGGGCGCGTGTTGTCGGATGGGGGTCCCCGCTCGATCGGGAGCCTCCCCAGGGGTCCGACAGCCCGCGCCCATGCCCACAGCCAGTGCTCCTCCCTCCGGCCTCCTCCCTATAGGTATGGGTGCGTGGTGTTCGCTCGTCACGAGGACCTCGACCCTAGACCCCCAAGTCTCGAGCCTCGTGCCTTGATCCCTAGAGCCTCGACCCTCGAGCCCCGAGCCCCGAGCCCCGAGTCTCGAGCCTCGAGCCTCGAGCCTCGAGCCTCGAGCCTGGTGGTCGCCGCTGGGGCCGCGACAGGGGCTGTGCCTGCAGCCAGTGCAGGGCCCGAGTCCGCCGCGCCCCGGGCAGCCGCCCCCGCGGGAGCGGTGGGGCCGCCGGCGCGGGCGGGGCGCATATGGGTGCTGGGCGTGGCCCGGAGCCAGACTTCGGGAGCTCAGCAGCGGTGGCCCCGGCAGTTGGTGCGCCGGGGGTGAACGACGCGAAGATCGGGACAACATCGAATCGGGATAATTCGAAATCTCTGAGAATCGGCGGGTTTGGAGGATGTATTGGGCGCCGCGGCCGCTCCAGAGCGTTCCGAAACGATCTGAGAGCGCTCCGGAACGCTCTGGAGCGATTTATCCCGATCCTAGCCCTGTTTTAGGACAGGGCCCCCACCCTGACACGTCGATTCGTGGATTGTCCACTCTCGGTTCTCGAGGCTGCCGCGGCCGTCGTTTTCCAGGCCTGCGCCCGCCAGGTTTGGGCCCGAGAGGTCGTTTTCACTAAACCACGTTTTGCTAAAGGGGTTCTGTCCATCCACGAGGGCGGTCAGTGTGGCCACCCCCAGCGAGGTACGCCTGTGCTGCTCCGTGTCGGGCAGATGTGGCCCTCGTGGGCCGAGCCAGCCCGCAAGTTCCGGAGCACAGCAGAGAGATGCAGAGCTCTTGGTCGTCATTCCTCACGGCGCTCCTCTGAGTGTCTGTCCAGGGTGCCCGGTGTCGGTCCGATGCGTCTCCGTTCCCTCCTCTCGGTCTTGTCAGCCTCTGGAGTCTGCCGAGGCGCAGCGCTGACCTGACGCCTGCTGTCCAGCAGTTCGAACCGCCCAGCCCTGGCGGTCTGGCAGCTCGAGCCGCCCGCGGGCAGGGTACAGCGAGCCGCGGGGGCACAGCGACGAATTGGTGGCCGGCCGGGCCTCTGCCGCGGCCTGCTGCTGCTGAGCTCTGCGCTTCGTGGCAGTGGCGTGCCCCGCGGTGGCTCCGGGGCCGCTGGCGCCCCTGGCCGAGGCGGCGGCGAGGCTGCTGACGGAGCGGGGGGAGACCGTCGCCGTGTTCGACGCGACCGCCGGCGGCTTGATCCAGGCGGCGCTGCTCGCGCGCCCCGGCGCCTCCAAGTACGCCGCGTGTGCGGCGAACACGATCAGCACGCGGCGCTCCGCGCAGCTCCTCGGGGAGCCGCTGGTGGCCGAGCTCTCGACCAGCAGGCCCACGGACGCCGCATCCTACAGAGCGTCGAAGAGAGCTTCGGTGGCAGCAATCGCGCGGAGCATGCGCGCCGCGGTTGGTACGACGTGGGTCGTGGCTGAGAGTGGCGCGTGTGGGCCGACGTTCGCTCACTCGGGCATCGAGCACGGCTTCACCGCGCTGTTCGTCTCTGGGCCTGTGGAGCGTGCCGCCTGGGTGGAGTCGGACCACGCCGAAAGGGAGGCCAACATGTGGGGCTTCGCGAAGGCGGCGCTGGACCTGCTGGCAGCGTGCCTCAGCGGCAGCGCCGCCGCCGGGCAGCCCGCGTCGCCGCAGAGCGGCATCTTCGAGGGCCGGGAGGACCGCTTCGGGGGCGTCACCGTCGATGTCGCGGCGGATTGCGCAGCAACCACTGAAGCCTTCGCCGGGGAATTGCGCAGCCGCCTGGCCGAGTGGGCGTCGGCGGGCAAGCGGGGCATTTGGTTTAAGGTGCCGCTCTCTTGCGCCCGATTGGTCTTGCCGCTGAGCTCCGAAGGCTTCAAGTTCCACCACGCCAAGGAAGAGCACGTCATGCTTTCGCGCTGGCTAGAGGCCAGCCCTTGCAAGCTGCCGCGCTACAGCTTCACCCTGCTTGGAGTGGGCGGCGCCGTGGTAAACTCGAGAAACGAGGTGCTCATGGTCCAGGAGCGCTTGGTGGCCAACGCAAAGTTTCAGGGCCTCTGGAAACTGCCTGGTGGTCTCGCCGACCCTGGGGAGGACTTGGCGGTTGCTGCGGGTCGAGAGGTGTTGGAGGAGACTGGTATAAAAACCGAGCCAGTGGGCGTCGTATCCATCAGGCACGCCCACGGTCTTGCTTTCGGTCAGGGCGACATCTATTGTGTGCTCAGGCTGCGGCCTCTCAGCGAGGATATCAAGATCGACCCAGAGGAGATCGCAAGCGCGCGCTGGATGTCGCTTCAGGAGATCGAGAAGCGAGTCCCCGCCGACGACGTGAAGACTATGGCAGACTGCGTTTCCAAGGGGACCTTCACTGTGATCTCACAGGCAGTGCACGGCGCTCTGATCCATGGTGCGCTTGTTCCGAGCACGGCTGGGAAGAGCGTGGTTATGTACACTGCAGCTGGGAAGTCGGATGCGGCATGATGTGTGCCATGAATTGTCGTATCCCCAGAAAAAGTTTCAGTTGAGCGACCACTGCCATGGGGCAATCGTGCGATATCCAGATTCGGACGCAACCGGCATCCTTGAAATAGTAAGGGGAACCAGAGTTTTTCATCCTTCTGTCATCCCGATGATGAATCATCAGGATTACAACACATGTGTCAAACCCTTCAGTTCGGTCGTTCGTGGATATTTGGTATGGCTTCCATTATTGCAGGCGGGTGCTCCTTTAGGCGTGCTTGACCATGTAACCATGCTTGTAGAACGACCGCGCTACTGTCCCTGGAACGCTTTCCAGGGATATGCAGGGATCGGGAATGAGTTCGACCCCAACGTTTCAGGGTCCAGGAGGCATAGGGAGGAGGAGGAGGCGGGTCGGGCGGGGCAAGTCGGGGTGGTAATTATTTGATTAGTGGTTTGGTGGCCCTTTACGGCTGGAGCCTCCGACCCTGTTGCGAGGAGGACAGGGAATGGAACATGGTCGACGAGGAGAGGGGGGGCTCTTGGGTCTTCTGTAGCTTCTTGGGGTGTCTCTTGAGAGACTCCTGAGGGCCTCTTGGATCCATTTGGGGGCCTCTTGGGGGCCTAGGGGCCTCTGGGAGGGCCCCTTGGGACCTCTAGGGGCCTCCTGGGAAGCTCTGGGGCCGACGGTTCGAAAGCTCCTTTCGAGTACCATGTGGTGCCTCTTGGGCTGTCTGGGGCCCTCTTGGGTCGATTCGGTGCCCTCTTGGAGGCTTCTGGGGCTATCTTGGGTCGATCTTGGGACGATCGTGGATGCCGCCTTGGAGCGTCGGGCAGCCGAGAAGGCGAGAACACCGAAATCTTTCAACACACAAATAAAAAGCTATGGTTTGAACCTCTTGGGGCCCTGTTCGGAGTGCTCTTGGAGGGCTCATGAAGCCACTGGGAGGTGTATTGGGCCGTCTGGAGGTCTTTTGTAGCGTAACGAAAGTATCATTGGGCGATCCGCGGCCTTCGTCGGACCGTCTTGGAGGTCTCTCGGGGCACTCAGTCTGCCCGTCTTGGGATCTTCTGGGCCCTGGGACCCCGCGGGGAATGGTACACTCTCTCCCGGGGGCTCCTTTCGGGGCGACAGCTGGTTTCGCCCACGGCTGGTTTCGCCGCCCGGCGAAACCAGCTCAGTCGGCGAATCCAGCTCCGTCGGCGAAACCACCTGCCGTCGGCGAAACCAGCTGCTGTCGGAGAAACCAGCTGCCGTCGGAGAAACTGCCCGACCCGACCCGCCCGCCAGGGTCCGCCTGACCGACCCGACTCCCCCGTTGGGGTTCGCGCGTGCTCGGTCGAGCGCGCTCCACATTTTAATGTTCTGCCCGCCCGACCCGACCCGCCCGCTAGGGTCCGCCCGCCCAACCCGACCCGCCCGTTTAGGTTCGGCGCGTGTTCGGTCGAGCGCGCCCCACGCTCTGATGTCCCGCCCGCCCGACCCTACCCGCCCGTTAGGCATATTCCTCCTCCCTTACAGTCGGCCCGCATGGTAAGGATGGACAACTTTCCCACGCGTACCCTTGCATCCTTGCCTCCTCGGCTCATCCGTGGGCACTTTCATTAACCGAGCCCCGCTCGGAAAGCTTCGACATGGGGGTTCAAGGCCACTGCATCCTCATCGCGCATCCTTCTGATACGGGCCGACTGTAATTGTGGAATGCGTGCGTTCGCTAGGATGTAAACACCGCGATACTTAAGAGTTAGTGACAGAACGATTTCAGGGCTCGTTTCGATTCCTCCAGTTCTATTCGAGTCGACTTGGATGGCTTCCGATTCCGATTCGATGCGACTTCGGATTCCGATTAGGGCTCCGATTTCTCAGTGGAGGCATACCAGCCCGCCGATTTCCGCCGACTCGAATTTCCCCGACTCGGATGCCGACTTCCTCCGACCCGATGTTTTCGATCGCCGATCCGACTTACCGATTCGATTCAGCCGATCCGAGTCACCGGTTTATTCCGATGTGTTTCGATCGCCGATCCGACTTACCGATTCGATTCTGGGCTCTCCTGCGCTTTCCAGTCAGCCCCTGGCAGTCTCGAACACTCTACAATTGTCCAGGGCGCGCGCAGCAGGCACATCCCTGCCGCACGCCAGACGAGGGGTAGAGCCCACGGGGCTTGAGCCGTTCAGTTCGGCGACGAGCGAGGGGGGGAAACAGGGCTTATTTCGACTCCTCCGGTTCGATTCGATTCGATGACGATGGCTTCCGATTCCGCTTCGATTCGGCTTGGGATTCCGCTTTGGGTTCCGATTTCTCAATGAGGCTTTACTGCTCTTCCGATTTCGGCCGACTCGACTCCTCCCGACTTGGCTGCCGATGTCCGCCGATCCGATTCATTTCGATCGCCGATCCGACACACATCGATTTGATTCTGGGCCTGGGCTCTCCTGTTCTCAGAAAGCGGCTTGACTTCTCAGAAGCATTCGCTCCTTTCAGAAGTTTCCTGTTTTTCTGCGTCGTCGGGAAAGGCTTGACAACACTTCTCAGAAGGCCGGGTGACTTTCGAGCCTTCTGAGAAGGCCCGCCCCTTCTGACTTCCCCTCTCGGCTCGCCGCCGATAAGTTCCAGATTCGGAGGGCGCCATCGCCGCACAGTCAAGACGCTGGAAGAAGGGCCGCTCCAGTCAACACGCATAGTAAGGATGGGCAACCTTCCCCCAGGGTACCCTTGCATCCTTGCCTCCTCGGTCCATCCCTGGCCACTTTCGTTGGCCGCGACCCGCTCGAAGAGAGTATAAACGCGCGTTCAGCCATGTGTCCGCCGCGGCCCCGGGTCGGACGGACGTCCGTCTCCCAGAGGCGGCGCGAGTGCGCGAAGTCAGTTGCGTTTTCCCTTCGCTTGCGCACGAAGGACTAGAGAGATGATCTTTCTCCCCCAATCCCTGGGCTCCGCCCGAAAAGTCTGGCCGCCCCCAAAGAAGGGGGGAAGATATGGGATGCACCCCGAGGGGACTGCTCGGCCGCACCCCTGTCGAGGATGGGAGCCCCCCCGTCGTATAATCCCAGGGTTGGCCCCCAAGTTTCCTTTCCACTCGAAGTCCGCACGAAGCCTGGGATAGGGGGTCGACGTACCCCCCATGTTACCCTCGCCCGTGCAGGAAGGGCTAGGCTGGGACGCCTCTGCCCTCGCGCCCCTCCTCCGTGCAGTGGAGGCCCATGCCAGGAAGTGCCCTGCTTGTCTCCAGGGCGCCCTGGGTTTCTCGAGTTTCGACGGTCTTGCTGCGGAAGGCATGACGCTCCCCCTCCAAGAACCACACGGACGTCCTGGGGTCTCAGTGTGGGGGTTTCTTGCGGAGGGCTTCTCGTGGACTGGCCTCCACTGCACCCCCTGCTGGAGCCTGGAGGCCGCGAGGGGCGATAGGGGGAAGGCTGCCCGCGCCACGTCGGAGAGCGCCGAGCGGAGCAGACCCGCGCTCACCGCAGGCCGCAGGAGGGAGGAGGACGTACGGCCGTGTGGGTGGGTCGGAGGAGGAGGGAGGAGGAGGAAGAAGGAGAAGGAGGAAGGAGGGTGAAGGATGGAGTGGAAAAGGAGGAGGAGGAGGAGGAAACGGCCCTACGGCCTGAGCGAGGCATCAGGTCGAGGTCGGTTCGGGGAGGGTGCCTTCTTGTAGTTGTTCCCTCCCTTCTTCGAAGGCCAAAACAGCAGGTTCCAATAACTTTGCTGAACATATTCTGGCAACTTTGGTGTGTACGAAGGAATCCCAGGGGAAACAGGGATGTCGTTCGTGACAGCGTCGGCCTGCCCCGTGTGGTTGGTTGTGGCAGGTCCTGAAGAGGATGGCCAACCACACGCCGAAACGCTGAGGGCGAACTGGACCAGGGGTGCCCGAATAGTTGGGCATACTCAGTCCGAGACCAAAGGAGGATCCCAAGACCAAGATAATGCCGATTATATTGCACTTGTGTTGACATGTAGTTGCTTCAAGAATCCTTCCATTCAGATTTGACATGATGTTGCACTTGTTACGGCTTGCTTGGCAAATAACGGGTTATCATCCGAAGCCCTCCAGGAGCTCGTTTTCGGCGGCGCAGCCTTTTCCCCACCAGTCAGAGAGATTCCGGCATGCCTGCGCGTGTTGCAGAGAGATTCTGGCATGCCTGCTGTGAAGTCGGCTTCGCCGTCCTGTGCTCCAGCCAGTGCTCTGGTCACGGGGGCGGGGGGTCAGACATTCAAGGAAAAAGGGGGCACCTGCGGCCAGTCCGCCAGGTGCCGACGGTGTCACGAAAGAGGGGGCAGTTGTTCCCTCCCTTCTTCGAAGGCCAAAACAGCAGGTTCCAATAACTTTGCTTGACATATTCTGGCAACTTTGGCGTGTACGAAGGAGGCCCAGGGGAAACAGGGATGTCGTTCGTGACAGCGTCGGCCTGCCCCGTGTGGTTGGTTGTGGCAGGTCCTGAAGAGGATGGCCAACCACACGCCGAAACGCTGAGGGCGAACTGGACCAGGGGTGCCCGAATAGTTGGGCATACTCAGTCCGAGACCAAAGGAGGATCCCAAGACCAAGATAATGCCGATTATATTGCACTTGCGTTGATATGTAGTTGCTTCAAGAATCCTTCCATTCAGAGTTGACATGATGTTGCACTTGTTACGGTTTGCTTAGCAAATAACGGGTTATCATCCGAAGCCCTCCAGGAGCTCGTCTTCGGCGGCGCAGCCTTTTTCCCACCAGTCAGAGAGATTCCGGCATGCCTGCGCGTGTTGCAGAGAGATTCTGACATGCCTGCTGTGAAGTCGGCTTCGCCGTCCTGTGCTCCAGCCAGTGCTCTGGTCACGGGGGCGGGGGGTCAGACATTCAAGGAAAAAGGGGGCACCTGCGGCCAGTCCGCCAGGTGCCGACGGTGTCACGAAAGAGGGGGCAGTTGTTCCCTCCCTTCTTCGAAGGCCAAAGCAGCAGGTTCCAATAACTTTGCTTGACGTATTCTGGCAACTTTGGTGTGTACGAAGGAGTCCCAGGGGAAACAGGGATGTC